TGCAAAGGCCCTGAGGCAGAAGCGAGCTTGTGTGTCCACTGGAAAGAAGGCCAGTTTGGCTGAAGAGAAATAAGGGTGGCTTGAGCGGGAGGTCACAGAGATAGGCAAGGGCAAAGAAGGCCCGGTAGGGTCTTGTCAGCAGCCGTGGCAGGATTTGATGGAAATCCATTGAGGTGGTTTGAGCAGGGAAGGAGGATGATCTAACTTAAGTTTTTTTATTTAGAGGGAGAAGGAGATGGAGAGAGAGTATAAGCATGCAGGGCAGGGGCAGAGAGGGAGGGAGGGGGAGAATCCCAAGCAGGCTCCTCGCTGTCAGTGCAGAGCCCTATGCCAGGGTTGACCTCACGAGCCAGGAGAGCTCGTGAGCTGAAATCAAGGGTTGGATGCTTCACTGAGCCGCCCAGGCGCCCCTGACTTAAGTATTTCAGAAGATCTCAGCTGCTGCTGTGTAGGAAACAGAGAGGCAAGAACGGAAGCCGGGGGCCACTGGAAATAGGCCCATCAGATGCCAGGTTTCTGCACAGGAGAGGTGAGGCCCCGGCATGGCTGGCCCCGGGTGCTGGACTCCGGCGGACTCGTCAGGTGACCGCTGGCTTTACAGGCCCGAGCTGAGCACACGCTCTTGCGGCTTCCAGCCCCGAAAGCCCAGAATTCTGAGAGCTTTGCGCCAAGCGCCCGCTCCTGCACTAGCAGCCTTAGTTTTTTCTACTCAGCCTGGTTTCTTCGGAGACTATCTTTCTTGCCCTCGTAAAAACCAGAGGCTGACTATCACAAACGGCAAGGCGTCCCAGGACCACCTGCTGAGGAATGGCCTTGCCTCTTAGTTCCCTCCCTCTGATCCAAGTGGCTGTCCTTAATGGTAGCCCCAAGCTTTCAGATGAACGTGTTCTTGAAAGATCTTACGAGGCTTGGGGCGCCTGGGTGGCTCAGTCGGTTAAGTGTCCGACTTTGGTTCAGGTCAGATCTCATGGTTCATGGGTTCGAGCCCCGCATTAGGCTCTGTGCTGACAGCTCAGAGCCTGGAGCCTGTTTCAGATTCTGTGTCTTTCTCTCTCTCTGCCCCTTCCCCACTCATGTTCTGTCTCGGTCTCAAAAATAAATAAACTATAAAAAATTTAAAAACAGAAAGATCTTACAAGGCTTGCAGATGCGGGTTTTTTAGGCTGTGTGTCACATGGTGTCTGGCACATAGTGGTGGCAGTTCGTCATAAAGTTGCAGAAGGGGAGGATTTTGGAAGGCGTTGGAGAGTGAGATTGCTTGGCATCTGAAGTCCAGGGACGGAGCAAGGTCCGAGTCTGGCTCCGCTGCTTCCTGCCCGATCCCAGGAGATGGCCCTGCACCCTGGCTGGGGAAGGACATGCAGTGCCCTGGTCCTGGCTCAGGATGGCATCTGGACACGCTGCGTTTGGGGCAGGGGCTTCCACGGACTGTCGGGGGCACCAGGAGAATTCTGTGTGGGCAGTGCCCTCCCCCCGCCGGACGCCGGTGTTTGGAGCTGAGGAGAAAGATGCGCTCAGAGCATCTCTGCTTCTCCACGCCTTGCCTCTCCCTGCTGCTCAGGGAGCCCTGCGGGCCACGCTCCGGAGGCCCAGCCTCCCTTCAGAGGGCTTCTCGCCGGGACCTCCGACGCCTGTGCACGGGGAAGGCCGCCAGATCTCTCCCCTCCCCCCACCCTGTCCTGTCCACCCTCTGTTCTGCGGTCACTGCACACCACGGCCCAGATCCTGCTCTTGGCTCAGCTGTCCCTCAGCCAGGCCTCCCCCCCCACCAGCACGCAGCAGGGGCAGGCCCCCCACCCCGGACAGTCCGAGGTCTTTCCCGTGACACTCTTGCTCCCGGCCACCTCTTCAGAGCTGTTACGGACGCTCCGGGCCTCCCCACCTGGGCCTCAGCCCGCCGCCCACAGCGCCCTCAACAGCCTCCACCAGCCCGGGGGTGCCGAGGCCGCCGCGTTGCATGGGTTGGCCTCCTCCTCCTCCTCCCCGAAAGCCTTTCTTCCCTCAGCCCCCCCCCACGTCCCCCACCTCCGCCCGCTCTGAGCTCCTCTGCTGGGTGGTCTGGCTCGTTCGTGACTTCCGTGACTGGATGGTGACTTCCAGGTTCGCGTCCCAGCTCACACGCCAGCAGCACTGCCGGGCGGAGAGGGCAGCCGAGGGCGGGCAGGCGGCGGCCAGGACAGCGAGGACGGAACTCAGCCGTTGTCCGCGGCAGGACGAGGGCGTCATGGGGGTGTGAGGGTGGGCGTCACCGTGTCCTCTGGGACCAGCGTGCTCACGGCCGGGCTTCTCTGGCCGTTTCTCCCCGTCGCGGTGACCGGCGCCACCACCTGCCGGTCACCATCCTGGGGTGGCTGACGCTTCCGTGTGCAGCCCGGGCGACTAGCTGAGTCTGCCTTCTCCCCCTTCTCCCCTGTCCCCCGTGGTCTACACTGCAGCCTGCGGGGCCTTTCCAACAGGAATACCAGTTCACCCTGTCAGGCCCCCCAGCCCCCTGCATGGCTTCGGCCTGCCCTGTCAGGCGAAGGTCAGATTCTGGGCTAGTCGGCTCTGCGGGCGCCCGCGGCCCCAGCTGTCCACACCGAGCCCGCCCGAAGGCGGTCCCCTCATGCACACGGCCTCAGGGGGGCCTGGCGGGTACGGGACATCGTGGCGTTCACGCGCTCCTGGGCAGACATCCCACGGGGGACCCCAGACGGCGACGGGCGGGCGGGCGGCCGCCCACGCTGCTGACTGCGCTGCAGGAAGGCCTCAGGGAGCCCCCCAGGGTGGGCGGGGCAGGGGCTGGGGCCCGAGCGCGGGGCTCTCAGGCCACAGTTACGCCCACGGGCTGAGAGTCTTGGGAGGTGACTGTGGCAGGTTGGCCTGGGTGGCGGGACCAGGTCTTCCTCCGGAGGCTCACTCTGCCCGCCCCGAGGACAGTGCCCGGGGCAGGGGCCCAGCGGGTCTCAGGTGCCGTCCTGCCCTCAGACACGAGGAGCCTCCCGGCGGCGTGGGTCCTGGGGAGCTGTCTAGACGTGCGGAGTCCATTCCGTTTTAAGGGTTCTCCCGGCGCCCGGAGGTGCCCGGGGGCCGCACGTGTGCCCAGTGTCCTCAGGGTCGCCGTGTGTGCAGCACGGGATTCGCCCAAGTAAACAGGAGGTGTCAACTCTAACCTGCCGGACACACGTGTGTATAACTTAACGTTTAAAACAAGTACGTGGCTTGGACTTGAGGAGGAGCTGTTTGTGACGGGGAGAGGACGGGGGGGGGGTGACAGGGGAGGGCACGGGGGACGGAGAACTAGGGCTTCGGGGGGCATCTGTGGAAGCTGAGAAGAGCAGTTTTAACTTGGGGAATCCTGAGGAGGAATAGGGGTACAGATGGGTTTTTAAGGAAGACTAGCTTTCGTGACCGGTTGGAAAGAATGACAGATACTGAGGACGAGGTCCAGGAAAGCCCATTTTGAGGAGGAAGCTCCTGACTGGGGGGGGGAAGGGAGCCTGGGCCCTGGCTCCCAGCTCTGAGTCGCTTGTGCCCACGGCACCCATATCCTGGAAAACTCCTCCCAAGTATCCTTAAGCACCTCGTTTATAAACAAAGCTGCTCAGGGTGCCTGCATGGCTCCGCCGGTTAAGGATCCACCTTCGCCTCAGGTCATGATCTCACGGGTTCGTGGGTTCAGGCCCTGCGTTGGGCTCTGTGCTGACAGCTCAGAACCTGGAGCCTGTTTCAGATTCTGTGTCTCCCTCTCTCTCTGCCCCTCCCCTGCTCATGGTCTGTCTCTCCCTCTCTCCCTCCCTTTCCCAAAATAATCATTAAAATTTTTTTTAAAAAGATTAATAAAAATAAAGCTGCTCTTAACCTCTTAATAAGAATTTCATTCAAGAATGAGAGCAAATAGCTGGGGTCTTAAGTTGGCGTGAGCTCTTCTAGTTCAGTGTGACTGGAAGACGTTTGGTGGGTTCCTGCTTCCAGGGTGAGTTCCGTAGGCTTCTTACAACCGCACACGCGCACCTGCGAGCACCTTCCTGCAGGTGCGGGAGGAGCGAGCAGGCTGAGAACCTTGACGGTCGATGCCTGGGGGGCTCTGCACACGCACGCACCCCCCCCAGCTCCCTGGTCGCTCGCCCCCGTGGGCCTGGGATGTAGGGACCCTGGGCCCTGCCGCATGCGCCCCCGTCACTACCCGCCCCCCTTGGGTGTTTGCATACCTGCTTCTGTCCTTGCAAGGCAGCCCCGCGCCCTCGGACACCCCAGGCTGTTGCCATGCGGTGCAGAGATGGACGCAGGAGGGGAGGCTAGAAAGGAGGGTGTTTCCTGAGGCTCCAGGGCCAAGCGCTCGAACGTGGCTCTCGCAGATTGCTCAGGGCTGCGGGGCGCGCAGGCAGAGAAGCGAGGCATCTGCTCTGTGCGTTGCCCGTGGCTGCTGTACAGAGGACCACAGGCTGCTTCTTACACTTTTGGAGGTCACAGGTCGACAGCGGGGCCACATCAAGGTGTCGGCATGGTGGCTTCGTCCAGGAAGCCATAGAGGAGAACCTGCCTCCCAGCCTCTGCCAGCTTCTCAAGGCCTCCTGCACTGCTTGGCTTGCGGCGCCTTCCTCTCCGTCCAGGCCGGGTGGCTTCTCCCAGGGCCTCTGACGCTCTCACCTCTGCTTTGTCCCCTGCTGCCCCGCCCTGCTAATCCAGGCTCCTTACCTCGTCACGTCTCCAGAGTCCCTTTTGCCAAGTAGGGAGAACCTCCCGGGTTCCTGGCATTAGGATGTGAACATCTTTGGAGGGTCGTTCTCATCAGCCTGGATGGTAAATGCGTCTGGGAAAAGTTTGAGGGGAGACAGGAGAATCCCTTGAAACCCAGCATTCCTAGGGGTGGGATGGGGCGCGTGAGGAAGGAAGTTCACGGCAGGGCGGACGGGTCCGCCCCAGGGTAAAAACCCCCATGTATTTTCCAGATTCTAATTGCGCTGTGAGATACAACCATTTGACATATGCCTCTGTCTTTGTTTTTATTTTGGAAACAGATTTCCAGTAGGAAAAACAACCTTCCTGCTACCCCGTCTCCAGCGTCCAGCAAAATAAAAGTGCCAGCCCCTCAGCCCATAGTGAGGAAGGACAGGCGGCAAAACTCCTCCAGGTTCAATGCCAGCAACAACCGAGAACTTCAGAAACTGCCGTCTTTAAAAGGTAATTGCGGTCGTTTGCTTTTAGAAGTTTAGGTGTGCCCATTCCAGGGAGGAGTCGAGTTTTCATGGTTTGCCAGCCACTCCTTCCTCTGCTGCGTTTATAGTCCGTTAGGGTCATCTTCTCTGTCGAGTTTTGTTTTGCGTTGTTTCTGTTTAATGCCATCAGCAGAGTTGCCCCAGTGGTATTTCAGATCGCACAGCTGTTTAAGGTGGAAGTGTGGTCACACACGCATGTTCTAGGCGTAATACCCTAAATGTCTTCGTGTGAATCGTAAGCAGGCCAGCTGGTACTCCCTTCGAGGACTTCCCTCCCGTACCTGTCACCTTTGAACTCTAGCAATTCAGAAAGGAGGCTCTGCGGGGAGGGTAGTTGTGAAACCAGCAGTGGGGCCGCCTCCTGGGTTTCCTGGCCTTGGAGAAGCGAGAACTTAGCCACAGTCCCTTGTGGGCTTCCTTCGTATGAATCATTTGGGGTTTACTCTGCCCAGGGGGTTCCTAGTTGAGATTAGTCAGGGAACAGCTCCCTTTCCTTTGAATTTCCCCCAAAATCGCACAGTCCCCCCCCTTTCCACCTGAAAGTGTTTGGTCCCTAAAAGCGCTCCTGTAGGCGATGTTGAGGCTGAAGTACAGAAAATCAAGGAAAACAGGGTAAGGAGCCCAAGAGTCAAATGCGAACCTCTGAACAGCTTCCTATTTACTAAAGTAGAAGGCTGGTGGGACAAAACAGACGATTTTCGTTCCATACATTCACGACAGTGGGTCTTTTTACAGGATGTGGGACCCAGAGCAGGTAGCGTGTCATCCTAACAGGCGTATTCCAGCACCTTCCACACTGAGGGGCTCAGTGCACGTGTGCCAGAGGTGCCAGGCAGGGGGAGGGACAGAGGGAGGGAAGGGCAGGGAAGGAAGGCACGGCAGGAGGGAGGGATTTAAGGAATGATCGCTGCAGTTCCTGCCCCTCGCTTGCTAGGAGTCTGGGCCGTCCACTGACCGCAGCCTGCAGAGCCTGAACCTGTCTTCGAGGTCGTTTAGCCCCATCGCAGGCCATGTGCGCACTAAGTCGTTTCGGGGAGGGACGAATCGATGGAGCACAGGAGATTTCCAGGACAGTGGAACTACCCTGTGTGGTACTGCAGCGTGCACACGTGGCATTTTGCACTTGTCGAAAATGCACAGACTGCACAGCCCGAGCAGCGAGCCCTGACGTGAGCTGTGGTATTTACTGAGTAAGAATATATCAGTATTGGTTCATCACTTGTAAGCAGCGCACCCGCACCAATGAGCTGTGTACATAGTAGGGGAAGCAGGTGGGGGAGAGCGTGAAACTTCCACGTGTTTCTGTAAGTCTCAAAGTTCAAGTCTAGTAATTAAAAAAAAAAAAAAAAAAGTGCTACTGTTGCATCTTTGATTTGTAAGCCGGCCCTTTACCTTCCTCCACGACAGCGTTCTTGGTTTATTCTGTTGGTGATTGTTTGGATTTACCCACTCATTTATCGCCTTATTCCTCATTCCTGGTTGTATCTCTGACTTCCCTCCTGGGGCCATTTTCCTTTTATTTGAATATGTCAGGGAGAATTTTCTTTAATGAGAGTCTACTGGTAGCAAATTATTTATGCAGAAAATATCCTTATTCTGCCCTTTTTCTTGAAACATGTTCACTGAGTATTGAATTTCAGGTTATTTTCCTTCACTGCAATGAAGATAAGCATTTCGCTGCCTTTGACCTTCCATTAGGATTGAGAAACCCATGTCATTCTTTGAAGGGATTGTGATTCTGGTCACTTTTCTGATTTTTTTGTCTTTAACATTTGATTTTTTTGGTAGTTCCACTACTGGGTGTCCAAATGTGGGCTTCTTTTTTTTTTCTTAATGTTTATTTATTTTTGAGAGAGAGAGAGACAGAGCATGAACCAGAGAGGGGCAGAGAGAGAGACAGAAACACAGAATCTAAAGCAGGCTCCAGGCTCCAAACTGTCAGCACAAAGTCTGACCCGGAGCTCGAACTCACAAATTGTGAGATCATGACCCGAGTTGGAGTCAGATATTTAACCGACTGAGCCCCCCAGGTGCCCCCATGGGTTTCTTTTTTATCGGTCCTTTGGGGATTTGTCGTGCATCCGTATGTTATTGGACTTCCTTGGTGGTGGAAAGTTCCCAGCCATTATTTCTTCTACATTCATCTCTCTTTCTTTTTGGTCTTCATCTATATTTTTCAAATCTTTTGTCACTTACCATGCTATATTCGCAGAGACAGTCTCACGTTTTCTCTGGTGAAGGACCAGTTTTCTTTTTCTTAATTCTCAACCCATCATGGACTAATGCTTTTATAAAACACAGTAAAAATAAGCAACTATAAAAGTGAAATATAAAATGCAGCCTTTTTTATTATGATAGGCAGTAGACCTAAAGTTGCCTCGCTAAAGTGCTATCAGACTCTCTAAACACCGTGCTTAATTTCTGCTGTTGAGAATCTTCAGGTCTGCCTAGCATGTGCTGAACTCCCTTTGTTGAGCTTTTAATCTGAGCGATCCTTCTCCATTCATGGAAGTTACGTTTTTAATCTGTAGCGTGACTTTTTCTTACTTTCCGTTCTCCCTCGGGTCACACTCGTCATTTCTGTGGGTCACAGGTCCTTTGCGATCTGTGTCACAAATAGCGTCATCTGAAGTCCTCGTCACATGTTGTTTGTGATACCTTATTTTCTTGAGTACCTGACTATTTTCTAGTGTGTGCTGGTCATTGTACTCAAATCTTTGGAAAAAAAAAATTAACATTTATTTATTTTGAGACACAGAGAGACAGCATGAGCAGGGGAGGAGCAGAGAGAGAGGGAGTCACAGAATCCGAAGCAGGCTCCAGGCTCTCAGCTGTCAGCACAGAGCCCAGTGTGGGGCTCAAACTCATGAATGGTCAGACCATGACCTGAGCTGAAGTTGGACACTTAACCGACTGGGCCCACCAGGTACCCCATGTACTCAAATATTTGAAATAAAGTGAAACCTAAGACGAAGTGTCTTTTTCCATAGAGATTTATTTTTGCTGGGTTTTGCTGCTTTTGCCCCACACCTGGGTCACTACCAGCTTGGGAGTGTTGTAAATCACAGCACCCGTTTATTATGACTTGTTAGATCCGTCAGGCTGGTTATCATGTGAAATAGTTCACTTGTTCCCTGTCCTGCTTGTACGTAGAGACTGTTATGGGATGGAATGCCGTGTAACGCGGGAGATACCGGCATTAGCGTGTGGTACGCATTCGATCTGGTGACTATCCTCAGCAATGTGGGATTTTACACCGTGTTAGGACAATGATAGGGTGATCTCTCCGTCAGAAGACGCACTTCCCTTGGCATCAGCACCGTCTGGAAGTGCTGGTGGGGATCTGCAGGGTGTGTTTTGGTTCCCCACCAACCATATGCTAACACTGCGTACACCTTGCGATCGCGCTCCCTCGAGAGAGCAGCATCACTACAGAGTTAATGTGTAACCTGGCGTTCTTCCCAAAGCAGGGCCGATTCCTACCAACCTGACGTGTAGTTCCTAGGGAAGGTCAGCATAGCCTTCGTGTCCCGCCTTAGAGACCAATTCCCCTCAAACGGTGAAAATTTAAGATTTTTTCTGGTTTTTCTCTTTTTTGAATATTATTATGAACTTAGGGATTTCATTGATAACAATGTGCTTCAGCCTACTAAAATCATTATCTTTTCTGATGTGCAGATGCATAGTTTTAAGCACTGGGTATCCTTTGGACCAACTCCCATGTGTTTTTTGACATGGACCCATTTATTTTTGATTCCTTGATTTCTGAGACAGGAAGATGTCCCCCAACCTCATTTTGTACCTCCCTTGCCCCAGACCTGGAATTGGCCATTTTCAAAGAGTCCTGATTTCTTTCAGTGGGGATTGATTTTAGAGACCAAACTCTGGGTCCTGGGGGCGATTGCTCCTATTGGACTGATGTCACTACTAAGTACCATCAGCAGAAGGAGGTGGTATGTCAGTGTTTGTGTATTTAGTCGTGTGCTTTCTTGTTGACATTTTTCAGTTCAACTCTGACAGCATGGTGTTTTCACATGTTTCTTGAATTTTCAGTTTTATCTCTTTTACACTGAAAATCCTGGTTTATAACATCACTGATGTAATTATTGCTATATCCTATTAAAATAATTCACAACAGGGGCGACTGGGTGGCTCAGTTGGCTAAGCGTCTGACTTTTGCTCAGGTCATGACCTCACTGCTCATGGGTTCAAGCCCCGTGTCGGGCTCTGTGCTGACAGCTCAGAGCCTGGACCCTGCTTCAGATCCTGTGTCTCCCTCTCTCTCTGCCCTTCCCTCACTCACGCTCTGTCTCTCTCAAAAATAAATAAATATTTAAAAATAATAATCTACAACAACAGTACTGATATTAATTACAAACAGTAAGCACTTTGAATTGGTTCATTTCATTGCTGAAAAAGAAGTTGTGTTTTTATTGGGATCTCATCACATTTTTTTAAATGTCCAGGGAGGATTGGAATCTTTAGAAAGCTTGCATCCTCTTACGTAAGAGTATGCTATGTGAAGGCTACTTTCATTTCCTTTTGGGTGTTTTAAAGTTTCCATTATGTGGGTTTTGCCCATTTCTTATTAAGTTTGTGCTTAGATATTCTGTTATTGCTGCTACTGTGAGAGTCCTCTATTTAGCTGTTAATTACTTATGTGAAGGCCATTGATTTGTATTTTGTTTTCACATCCTGCTTTCTTGCTGAATTGTTTTACTGTTTGCAGTAGTTTTTCAGCTGATTCTTTTGGACGATACAGGTATGTAATTAGATCCGCACATAAAGATAACCTCAGTTATTTATGCAGAGTCAGCATGCAACTCTTGGTCTCAGGGTCATGAGTTCAAGCCCTGCATTGGGCATAGAGCCTAAAATCAATCAATCAATCAATCAATCAATCAATGAGTAAATACATACGTACATGTATATATACATACCCTGCCTTTTTGTTCCTAATCTTAC